CCTTAGAGCAGCAGGAAAAAGCTCCAAGGAGGAGCTCAGGCATCCTTTGAGCACCACGGGAAAGCTCCAAGAGGAGCCACCTCCATTCTGCACCCATTGGGAAGCCTGTGGAGCTCTGTCCCCTTTTAGCACCAGGAAAAAGCTCCAAGGAGGAGCTCAGGCATTCTTTTAGCACCAGGAAAAAGCTCCAAGGAGGAACTCAGGCAGCGTTTTAGCACCAGGAAGAAGCTCCAAGGAGGAGCTCAGGCATTCTTTTAGCACCAGGAAAAAGCTCCAAGGAGGAGCTCAGGCAGCGTTTTAGCACCAGGAAGAAGCTCCAAGGAGGAGCTCAGGCAGCCTTTTAGCACCAGGAAAAAGCTCCAAGGAGGAGCTCAGGCAGCCTTTTAGCACCAGGAAAATGCTCCAAGGAGGAGCCATCTCCATTCTGTATCATTTTGTGAAGCCTGTGGAGCTCTGGTAGCCTTTGGGCACCAGAAAAATGCTCAAAGAGGAGCCACCTTCATCCTGCATCCATTGGGAAGCCTGTGGAGCTCTGGTAGCCTTTTAGCACCAGGGAAAAGCTCCAAGGAGGAGCTCAGGCATCCTTAGAGCACCAGGGAGAACTCCAAGGAGGAGCCATCTCCATCCTGCATCCACTGGGAAGCCGGGAGGAGCTCTGGTAGCCTTCTAGCACTAGGAAAAAGCTCCAAGGAGGCGCTCAGGCATCCTTAGAGCACCAGGGGAAAGCTCCAAGGAGCCACCTCCATCCTGCATCCATTGGGAAGCCTGTGGAGCTCTGTGCCCTTTTAGCACCAGGGAAAAGCTCCAAGAGGAGCCATCTCCATCCTGCATCCACAGGGAAGCCGGGAGGAGCTCTGGTAGCCTTTTAGCACTAGGAAAAAGCTCCAAGGAGGAGCTCTGGCATTCTTTCAGCACCAGGAAAAAGCTCCAAGGAGGAGCTCTGGCATCCTTAGAGCACCAGGAAAATGCTCCAAGGAGCCACCTCCATTCTGCACCCACTGGGCAGCCTCTGGAGCTCTGGCAGCCTTTGAGCACCAGGAAAATGCTCCAAGAGGAGCCACCTCCATCCTGCATCCATTGGGAAGCCTGTGGAGCTCTGTCCCCTTTTAGCACAAGGAAAAAGCTCCAAGGAGGAGCTCAGGCAGCCTTAGAGCACCAGGGAAAAGCTCCAAGAGGAGCCACCTCCATCCTGCATCCACAGGGAAGCCGGGAGGAGCTCTGGTAGCCTTTTAGCACTAAGAAAAAGCTCAAAGGAGGAGCTCTGGCATCCTTAGAGCACCAGGAAAAAGCTCCAAGGAGCCATCTCTATCCTGCATCCACTGGGAAGCCCAGAGGAGCTCTGGCAGCCTTTGAGCACCAGGGAAATGCTCCAAGAGGAGCCACCTCCATCCTGCTTCCACTGGGAAACCTGTGGAGCTCTGGCATCCTTAGAGCACCAGGAAAAAGCTCCAAGTAGGAGCTCTGGTAGCCTTTGAACATCAGGAAAAAGCTCCAAGGAGGAGCTCTGGCATCCTTAGAGCACCAGGAAAAAGCTCCAAGGAGCCATCTCTATCCTGCATCCACTGGGAAGCCCAGAGGAGCTCTGGCAGCCTTTGAGCACCAGGGAAATGCTCCAAGAGGAGCCACCTCCATCCTGCATCCACAGGGAAGCCGGGAGGAGCTCTGGTAGCCTTTTAGCACTAAGAAAAAGCTCAAAGGAGGAGCTCTGGCATTCTTTTAGCACCAGGAAAAAGCTCCAAGTAGGAGCTCTGGTAGCCTTTGAGCATCAGGAAAAAACTCCAAGGAGGAGCCACCTCCATCCTGCATCCATTGAGAAGTGCGGAGGAGCTCTGGCAGCCTTTTAGCATAAGGAAAATGCTCCAAGGATGAGCTCAGGCAGCCTTAGAGCAGCAGGAAAAAGCTCCAAGGAGGAGCTCTGGCATCCTTTGGGCACCAGGGGAAAGCTCCAAGGAGGAGCTCAGGCAGCCTTTTAGCACCAGGAAAATGCTCCAAGAGGAGCCACCTCCATCCTGCTTCCACTGGGAAGCCTGTGGAGATCTGGCATCCTCTGGGCATCAGGAAAATGCTCCAAGTAGGAGCTCTGGCACCCTTAGAGCACCAGGGGAAAGCTCCAAGAGGAGCCACCTCCATCCTGCACACACTGGGAAGCTCAGAGGAGCTCTGGCATACTTTGAGCACCAGAAAAATGCTCCAAGAGGAGCCACCTTCATCCTGCATCCATTGGGAAGCCTGTGGAGCTCTGTGCCCTTTTAGCACAAGGGAAAAGCTCCAAGGAGGAGCTCAGGCAGCCTTAGAGCACGAGGGAAAAGCTCCAAGAGGAGCCATCTCCATCCTGCATCCACAGGGAAGCCGGGAGGAGCTCTGGTAGCCTTTTAGCACTAAGAAAAAGCTCAAAGGAGGAGCTCTGGCATCCTTTGAGCACCAGGAAAAAGCTCCAAGAGAAGCCAGCTCTATCCTACTTCCACTAGGAAGCCTGTGGAGCTCTGTCCCCTTTTAGCACCAGGAAAATGCTCCAAGTAGGAGCTCAGGCAGCCTTTTAGCACCAGGAAAAAGCCATATCCCACAGRTTTTTCCTTCTTTTGGCTCATTTTTCTCTCTCCTGTATATCCCCAGCACGAGCTTTCCGCCAAGGCCGTGGCGGCTCTGACCTCCCTGYACGGCACCAAGTACAAGTACGGCAGCATCATCACCACCATCTGTAAGTGCTGGGGGCTCCTCCAAAATCCCAAAATCCCACAAAAAAAAAACAAAAAACATGGAATTCCCTCCTGTTTTCTCCTCCCTCAGACAGAGCCAGCGGAGGAACCATCGACTGGACCTACAACCAGGGCATCAAATATTCCTTCACCTTCGAGCTGCGCGACACGGGGCGCTACGGCTTCCTGCTGCCCGCCAAGCAAATTGTCCCCACGGCCGAGGAGACCTGGCTGGCCCTGAAAGTCATCATGGAGCACGCCAGGGACAACATGTACTGAGCTGGAACAGCTGCAGAGAAGGGAGGAGAGAAATAAATGGAGAGGATGAGAAAATGCCTYGTGGTTGTTTTCTTTTTTACCCAAATCGGGTGGAAAAGCCCKTTCGGAGCTGGAGTTGGTGCCAATACAAACAGGGCCAGTGGGGTGGAAAGGGAATTGAAAGGGTATGAAAATAGCAGAGAAAAAATGAAGGAGGGAAGGGAGGGGGTGGTGGATTTTCCACTGCTCYGGCAGGGGATGGGAATTGGGGTCAGTGGGATTTATTGGGGCTCCAAGAGAGCTGGAGAGGGACTGGACACGGAATGGGTTCAGAATGGAAAAGGGGAGATTTGAGTGGGATCTGGGCAAGGAATTCCTGCCTGGGATGGAATTCCCAGAGAATTCCTGGATCCCTGGCAGTGTCCAAGCCTATCCAGCCTGGCCTTGGAGCAGAATGGGACAGTGGGAGGTGTCCAGGGGTGGCACTGGGTGGGCTTTAAGGTCCCTTATAACCCAAACCTTTAGGATTAGATGATCTCTCCTCACCTGCTGCAATCCCTGGGGAATGGGGAGCCGAGCCCCTGCCCATTCCCAGCTTTTCCAGGCTCTCCACAACTCTCAAAGCTGAAAATAAATCACTCAATCAGATGCTRTAATTGACATTTTATTAAATTAAACCTCTCAGCCTCTGCAGAGTTTGACTCTGCTCCCRACAACACCGAGAGTCCAAATCCACACAAATCCATCAAGATGGTGGGAAAGCACATTCAGTCCTTCCTTTGATTCCTTGGATTTGGAGGATCTCAAACAACTCAGGCCAGTTTTGTCCATCTCACCAGCAGTTTTCACACAGCACAGGGATTCTGGATCTGTCTCCCACAKCTGGGTACCAAAATCAGGATTTTATCCAATTCAATGACACTTCCAAGAGCTCACGGAGCTGGAAAATCTATTCCCACAYGAGCAGGAGCTTGTCAGACTGAAACAACCAGTCCTGCAGTCAGAGTTGTCTGATTTCACACTCAGAGACACAATAAATGATAAATGTGCTCAGGGTGTTGAGTCTTCAGCTGCCAAACTGGAAATGATGGGCCATTTCTTCTGCTTTTTGTCCTTGTACCAGATTTATCCCAAAATCACCAGGGAATTTTGGGGGGTGTTGAAGATTGTCTGCTTCAAAAAGAGGGGAAAACCACCAGAATTCAAAAATACACACAGATCCCACAATGTCACGATAACCAAAGCTGGGCCAGGCTCAGCAACGCCAGATGGAAAAACTGGAGAGCAGAATCCTTCCAAAAGCACCTCCAAAGTCTCCCAGAGCTCAGGAAAATCAGCATTCCCAGGTTATCCAGAAGCACCAATTTGAGGAAAACTCTGCTACTCCTTTTCCACCCTGTTCATGTCCAGATTCCAGGCCCCTGTTGGGTTTTGGGGACCCCGGTGAGGCAGCAGCAGCAAATTTCCCTTCAGCCACCCTAAACCTTAAAGAAACTCCTAAAAAAACCTCTGGCAAAGGGAATAAATTTCCAGTTATTGTCCTTCTGTTCACCTTGGAAAAGACACAACTATTCACAAAGTGTCCACGAGCAAGCACGACCGTCACAGCACCAACCGAGCAATTCCGAAAACACTTTTATTACAAATATCTCTGTTCATTATTATAATTTAATTAAATAAAAAAAAAAAGAAAAAACATTCCCAGGATCTTCCCTCGCTTTTGGCAAGTTGCTGAATGTCTTTATCTCTGCTAAAAACACCAAAGTTTGSGCTCATGGGTGATTTCTGATCTGTTCACCCTCGCAGCTCTGAGGAATGTTACAGACACAAAATTCCCTCAGCAGGACTAAAAGCTTTGTGGAACAGTTTCTACCGGTCCCACACTTTGCTACCAGTTTGCTCCCTCCCCTAAAAACACATTTTTGTCACTTCAATCCTGCCCAGCACCTCGAGAGATGCCATTCCTGCCTCCAGGAACCGTGATCCCAGCTGCCCAGCCTTACCCGAGCTGCCACTTCTCACCACGGCTGCTTTTCCCTGCCGATTCCTAAAACCACAAAGGGGCTCTGCACTGCTCAGGATTCCCAAAACCTGGACACTCCTTTATTTCCAGGGTCTGTTCTGGACGCTGGTCCTGCTGTGCGTGCGGCTGCTCAGGGATCCTGCGTTGCCACTGGAGCTGGTGAGGCTGGGATTGCTCCTCACGGATGAGGGTTTGGAATCGTGGCTGGAAAAACCCCGGGTAAGGCGGCCTGAGGGGGGAGAAAAAACAACCCCAAATCAAAAATTAGTTGTTCAGATTGGGTTAGAAGTGTTCAAAGTTGGGYTGGATGGGTTTGGAGCAGCCTGGGATAGTGGGAGATGGGGTTTAAACTCCCTTCCCACCCAACCATTCCATGATGAAGTTCCAGCACATTCTGGAATCTTACTGGCAGCATCTGAAGGGACGTGCTCCTCGGCCAAGTAATGCTTTAATTTCTGCAGATCATCAGCAGAGAATCTCCATTTGTTCTCAGCTCTCGTGGGTGGCACCCTGGGAGTTGTTTTCCTGCGGGAGGATCCCGAGGGTGCCACCACCTGACAGGACACGGGGAGGGTTCCGGTGATCAACCCCTCGGGGATCTTCTGGGCCAGGACTTTGAGACCTGWGGGGACACAGATCACTCATTATTGAGCTGGGATGGAGCAGGAAGGATGCAAAATCAGGAGGGATTGGTGGAGCTGGAGATTCAGAAARTTTGGATGGAGAATGGTGGGCAGCATGAGAGAGAGGAATTCCAGAGCTCACACAGAGTGCAGCTCTGGATCCAACAGCACAAGGAGCTGGAGCTGCTGGGGAGAGCCCAGAGCTGCTCTGGATCAGGCTGGGAATGCTGGGAATGTTCCCCTGAAGAAGGGAAAATTCCAGGGAGAGATTCCAGAACATTCCAGGGGCTCCGGGAGAGCTGGAGAGGGACTGGGGCCAAGGGCTGCAGGGACAGGACACAGGGAATGGATCAGAGTGGAAAAGGGGAGATTGGGCTGGGATCTGAGCAAGGAATTTCTGCCTGGGATGGAATTCCCAGAGAATTCCTGGATCCCTGGAAATGTCCAAGGCCAGGCTGGACACTGGGGCTGGGAGCACCCTGGGACAGTGGCAGGGTTGGAACTGGATGATCCTTCACTTTCCCTCCAACCCAAACCATCCCGGGATTCCACAATCCTGATTTTTCCCAACTCCAGCTCCCACCACTCTCTTTTTCCCCAGGAGGGAGGTCCTGGGGAGCTCTCCCAGCCCCACGTACCCCCAGATAACATGAAGAGATTCTCAAAGCCCCTCTCACACATGGTGGTGGCTGCYTGGCTCGCCAGGCGCTCGTCGTTGTCGTACACGATGATGATTTTTCCGTGGGCGTTTTTCTGCCAGGAGGAATTGTTAAGGAGCCACTGCTGAATTGAAGGGGATATTGATACATCTGAGGATAAATAAATGGGATTGGGAAGGGAAAGGTTCCAGATTTGGCTTGCAAGCATCCAGCAGGAACATTTTCCCTGTGAAATTCCCAGTGACTGAGGCTTGGCAAACACTGGAAGGACACAGCTTAATTCCCACTGGATCCAGCATCGCTCCAAGATTGGGAATGGCAACAAAACCTTTGTTTACAACCTCCCCTGACAGTCAACAACCTGGGAATGATCAGCCTAATCCTGCCCAATAATCCTCTCTCTGGCCCCAATCCCCAGCAAGGTGCTGACAGGAAGCCAAAGGATTTGCTGGAGGAATCCTTGGAGCAGCCCAGCAGCAAAGCAGTGCCCCAGAATGGCTTTGCTCTCCAGCAGCCAAAATCCTGAGCAATGCCAAATTCAGGCATTTGGAGTCAAAAATGGCCTGGAAGGAACAGAATCCAGCACCTGATGRAGCCACACCAGATAATTCCACTTCCTATCCCACCTTCTTTGAGATCCCTAATTTTGCTTGGATAAACTCCAACTGATTTTGGMGTTTATCCAACATCCCCCCATTTTTTTCCATGTAAAGGATACATATTCCAGAATATTGTTCGTGTACGGATTCATAGTTCTTGACAACGTTGCAATGGGGTAGGAATAAGCTGTAAAGGAGCAAAAAAACAGGGAAAAAAATCATCCAGTGGCAGTGAAAACTCACCGATTTATGGGATCATAATGGCCCCTCATCCCTTTCCAGGAAGGTGGAA